TATATATATATATATATATATATATATATATATATATATATACATTGTCAGCAGATATGTTTATGTGTAGTAATTACAAAGCTAATTTCGCGTGAAAGATTTCGGTAATTGCATATACTTTCTCGTAAGGACAGCTTTAGTTTGAAATTACGGTGTTAATTTTTTTTAACATGTTTTTAGTATTTTGATGTGAAATTAAATTCGTTTTAAATATAAATTTTAGTTTTAAACTTTAAAAATAATTAATATAATTATTTTAACTCGTTAAATATTTTTTATATGTCAAAATATGTATTTTTAGTTAATATTAAAACAATAACGTGTCAAATGTAAAAAAATTTAGTGTTTGTCATATAAAAAAATTAATGTAATTAAGTTATAAAAATTATATCAATTTATTTTTAAACTTTGGAGATTTTAAAATTTAAGAATTAAAAATATATTTAATTTTTATTTTTTAGTTATAATAATAAAAATAATAATAATAGTAAGAATAATAAAAATAATAATAACAATAAAAATATTAATAATAATAATAATAATAACTCATCTAATTACTAAAAGGTTATATCTTTAAATAATAATCAATATTAAAAGACAAAAAGTAATTGTTTTAAAAGTTATTCAATTTGGTACTTGTACTTTATATATAATGTTAAAAGTTGCACATGTCAATTTGTGTTTTATTTTTTGGATTTTTTTACATGTCACTTCAAAATTATGTTACGTAACATTGTTAGTCTGATGAGCAGTTCCACACACTGAGTATTAATTTAGTTTTTATATTTATTTTTTTCATAATTATTGATTTGGTCCTCTAATTTATTAAGTTGGTTCATTTTAGTTTTATTATTAATTTCTGACTCAATTTAATCCTTCTATTTTTTAAAGTGTTTAATTTAGTCCCTTTTATTATGTTTGAGTAACACATTGATGATTCGTCACGATGAAACGTAAACATGACTACAATTGGTTGATATGAATTTATAGTGAAATTTTTTTATTTACATTTAACATGAATAGGTATAGAGATTAGAAACCAAAAAAATACTAAGTTTTTCACTTTGATCCAAAGTTAGGCATATTTCACCATCTCAACCTACCATAAACTCGGCAACAACAGACATGGACTAACTTGACAAGAGACAAGCTCGATAGGAGACAAATTAGTAAGAGACAATCCTAGACACTTGTTTTTCTACTTAGAGACCCTCTTGAATAAAATGTTTTTTGAAGACTTTGAAACTATAAGGTTCAGAAGAGCGCTGCAACATGGTGTTGAACTCGGTAGAATAGTACGAGAGGAGTTTCAGTGCTTCAACATGCTTTAGAGGTTGACATAGGAGGTGCTAAGCAAGGGAACAAGGCACTTAAAGGGTTCAAGAGGTTCTATAATAGAAAAATGAGTATGATTGTTGTGATGTTGGGGTTAGAACCATGCCTAGTCTGTCAAAATAATAATAAAAAAAATTCTTTTCTTCTCGAGCTTGTTTCCATGCCTACCTCTTAGCCATTTAGCCTTATCGAGCTTGTACCTTGTTGAGTTTGTATCCTATCGAGTTTGTCTTAACGTTTCTCCTATTGAGCTTGTCTCCTTTCGAGCTTGCTGAACTTGTATGTTGTCTAATTTGTCTTCATATTTCTCCTACCAAGCTTGTCTCGTGTCGAGCTTGTTGAGCTTGCTTATGTCGAGCTTGTCTTCATATTTCTCCTACCAAATTTGGGTTATGTTGAACTTGTTTTTTGCCAAGCTTATTTATGGTTAAGCTTGTCTCTTGCTGAGTTAGTCAATGTCTATTACTATCGAGTTTGTGATAGGTTGGGATGATGGAATATTTATATTTTTAGGTCAAAGCGAAAAACCAAACATCTTTTGGTTTTCAATCTTTAAATCTCTTTTTCATTCATGTTAAACATAAATAAAAATTTTGTCCACATTAGCAAATTATAGTCACATTTACGTTCCATAATAAACTAAATTGAACATTATTAAATACTAAAAATTAAAGTTATATATATATATATATATATATATTTAAAGTGAGTAAATAAAAAAATATTTTATTTGTGAAATAAAAGTGATATATTTATTGAAATTGAAGTAAAGCAATGATAAATTTTTGGGACTAAAATTAAAATATTTATAGGGGCTGAAAGAAAAATAACATATAAACAAGAATAAGAAAACAATACATTTACGAAGGAGTGAAAAAAAAAAATGCATAGCAAAACATATTTAAGTGTTATACTAAAAATTTGATTGATAATTCTTGGACTTAAACATATTCAGGATGAGTTCAATAATTCGTTTGAAAATTGCTAAATTAATTATCTTTAACATAGATATAATTTATTATTTTTATCTTTAATAGTGATAATGCATATTATTAATAAACATTTACAATATTCAACTAAATATAAATTCTACTTCAAAATTTTTTAATTATTAATCTTTATTAATGTTTTTTTTAATTGTTAGATATAAAAGTATAAAAAAAAGTTCGATGAACATATTAGCTAGTGAAGCTCATACAAAATTACCTAAAATTATTGAAAATATTTAAAAATGTTACATCCTTCTGCATCGCGAAAAGTTATAACAATATTTGTAGTAATGAATTTTTTACTACAATCAATAATTCAAATAGAATGACTTAAAACAGTTTAAATATTTATTACTTTTTTTTTAAATTTTTTTAAAACTTTTAAAAGAGAAAATCATGATATAACTGTTAGCATTATTTTAAATATAAAATAAATATTATAACATTTTCGGTTCCTATTTTTAAGAAACATAAAGTGGTCCCATTATTTTTATCCTTTTAACTGGAGCAATTATTAATTTTTAAACGTAAAGCATTTTGAAACCTATGATGGCCAGACTTTATATAAGGGAATAGGTTATTCTCAGTTTTGATCACTAATTCTACTCTTCTATTCAGAAAAACACACCATCAAGTTTGAGTGAGTTAAGGTTTAGAAAATAAAGCTGTCTGTGTTTAGATTTACAAAATTGCAATGGCAGGAGGTACGCACATTATTCTTTCATTTTTCTTCCGCTGTTTTTTATCTGAATGTGTTACTGTGATGTTAATATAACATGTTTAGGTCAATTTCATACTCTGCTATTTTATCAATAACTTCAATCTTTAAAACGATGTCATTAGTCAAACTTAAACTCAGAACAGAAATAAAAATAAATAGGATTAGCATGTTTCACTGTTCAGAATTTGGTATGCAAGATGGAGAATGATTAGAATTGACGAAGTAGATCAAAGTTGATGTTACATGATTATCTAAAGTAACATTGTTGAGACTCTTTCAAATCAACGATATCATTCTTCATTTTATTTTATTTCAATTATTATAATTTAACTATATTTTTCAATCTTATTTTATTATGCATTTCTATGTGTAATATGATCTATCACCACCGAATTCTTACACCAATTTCATATTTTTTTTTAAGTTTATCAAATATTTTCAATTCCTCAATGTATACTTTTATAATTATTGCAATTTAGATTACAATTTATTTTATGAAAATCCACGATTAACATTTTATTTAACATTAATTACATATATTAAAACATTTTATTTGAGTAATCACTCATTTTTATTCAATGGAAATTTTAACAAATCACATTTTAAAATTATTTTAATCCATATTTTTTTATTTCATTATATTAATTTCCCTTATAAACAATTTCATTTAAATTATTTTCATCAATCAAACATATTCTTTTAACAAATTACTCACATTTTAATTTAAATTAACTTAAAAATAAATTACATTTAATTTAAAATAATTTCATCAACTAAAATTAATTTTTTTATTTACTCACCATTTCTTTCAACTTAATATATGTCAATCACATTTTAATTTAAATTAATTTCATCAATTAGTTTTTTTTAAATAATAAGTCACATTTTATTTTAACATAATTTAAACTAATTAGGTTTTATTTAAATTAATTTTAAATACATAGATAAAATTATAATTTTATAGTTTTATTAATTAAAACATTTTGTTAATCTATCACACTTATCAAATCACTCATAAGTTTCCTCTTCATTTCTCTTCACTTTCAACTATCTTTAATCCAAACATCTCAACTTTTCACCTTTTTTTTCTTGTCGAATCCATTTCATTTTCTCAAAAACATCCTCATTTTGGTTACACGTGATAAAGTTAATAATAATAATAATAAGATTGATAAAAGAATTAAGCAGAGAGATAAAAACAACAAAAAAAGTTAAAAAGGAAAAAGCAAACAAATAAAATAAAATTAAAAGTACCTTTGATTAAGGAAACTATAAATTTAATAAAGTACCTGATGTTTATTTTCTGGTTTCAACTTTTCGTGCTTGATCTCCTAGAATTTGGTGTTACAATTTGAAGACTTACGGAATTTGGTTTCCAAAATCATGAAAATTTTATCACATTCTAAATTCCAAAAAATCTATCAATTACAACAAATAATTTATTCCATAATTTAATTACTGTTCTAAAAAAATTACAATAACGAAGAAAGCAGTGTGTATAAAAAAAATACCCTATAAACATTCCTGGTTGAGGCCTACTGTCTCACATTCTTGCACATTCTAGGGTAACTCAGAGGGCTATTTACATTACAAAATTAAGTAAAAAATAGAACAAATGGCTAAAGCAAATGCAAAACAAAGAAGAAGAAAACAATTTTTGGATCACAGTAAAATGATCATTGTTCTACACATGATCTGAACAGTACACCAATTCTTACCTACCCTCATTAAGAGCATCCTTAAGGATCGGTTTAGAAACACTTACGGGTGAATAGTCTGCACCACCCACCATGCTGGTACTTCCCGACGACTGGTAACTTGTATTGAATCCTTTGACCGCGTTTTCAGTCATGAAGCTGCTAACATCATCAAATTTCCAGTCACTAAGGTATCCAGGCTTTGAAGTAACAGTGTTCACTTCAATATCTCCTGAAAGCATTGCCACCACTCGTGACATCGATGGCCTTAATGATGGTGATGTCTGAGTGCACAGAAGTGCTATTCCCACAATACGTTTTACTTCTTCCTCATTGAATTCTGAAAGTCTAGGGTCCACCAGATCCATTATGAGGTTGCTTTCATGAAGCTGCCAAGCCTAAGAAACAGAAAACCAATGACAGTAAGGTAAAATTATAGGCATGTTTTTGAATGTTCAATGCACAAATTGTTTGTCAAAGAGGAGGGGAACATAATAAATCCATTTCACTAGCATTAACATGAGTTAACTGGTATTAGCATACAACCATTTCCAACTAATCTTCAGATGAAAGTTACTTCATCTTATGGCAGTGGGATATTTGCCTTGATGATTAAAAAGCAAAGGCAATTGTTAATGTTCCCATTATAAGGTGGGAATCCAAGTGTGAGTCTAAGTCCCACGTTAAATAGAAATGAGAAAATAGAACACTATATAAAGATGAAAGACCCATTAACCTATTGCCATAACGGTTTTGGATAGAGAGTATTATTAATCCCTTATATGGTTGGACTCAAATGTCATTGGTGTTTTTATCTTCCTGGTTAATCTTCTCTTCGATGGACTCAACAAAATCATCCCACAAATTGAAAACATGTAGTTTATCACATGACATATTTTTAGTAAAAAGAAAAGGAAACTAAGCACTTGAAGAATTCGTAATCATGTGAGAAGAGACTCATTTATTGTGCTATTAAGTGAAATATCAATATTATTTAAAAGTTGCCCTGTAAACCAAATGGTACTTTCCTTGGTTATTAGTTAATGAGATTAGATCTGAACTCGGTGCGATCCCAATATCGAGATGAAAAGGTATTAACCTTTGGATTATAATTCTTCACCAATAATATAGGTATAATTAAGATAAAAGCCACAGATTTAACATCAACCAATATTAGGAAGATAACATTCATAGGAAATAGAGGCAGCGTGCATACCCATTCAAGAAGATAGACCTTGTCTCCTTCCAAACTTGAATCAGCATTTGGTCTCCCACTTACTAACTCAAGAGCAACAACACCAAATGAAAATATATCTGCTTTCTCTGTAAGGTGTCCACGCATGGCATACTCCGGTGCAAGATATCCACTTTATCACAAGAATTAAAAATATCAACAGTTTAGAATTATTTAAAACAAAATGAACTCCAACCATAAATAGTTAATTATCTTTTCATGGATCCAATGAAAGATGATTAAGGATTTATTTGGACGAACTTCTCCATAAGGGCTTTTAAAAAAATACGAAAGAAAAATGAAATTGACTTCTCCATATATTCATCTTGGCTTATGCATAATCTAAAAGTAAAAGTTCATAGAAACTGAGATTTTTATCAAATTATCTTGTAATTTTAACTTATGAACAAGTCAATTTCCATTTTCTTTTTCTTCCAAGAGAAGTTTGTACCGATATGTCTGAAGTACCGATGACTCACATTGTTCCAGCCACACGGGTGCTTATGTGGGTCTTTTTATCATCGTACAATTTGGCCAATCCAAAATCAGATATTTTGGGTACAAGCTCGTAGTCAAGCAAAATATTACTAGCCTTCACATCACGGTGTACAATACGGAGACGAGACTCTTCGTGTAAATATGCTAAACCTCTGGCAATACCCGTGCAAATATCATAGCGTGTGGACCAATTGAGGGTTAAAGAATTTCCTGCCCAAACAGACCACATTTGTCCTTAGTCATTCGTACACATGAAAATGAGAAAACAAATAATTTACGTGCAGATAGACAAAACTTATTTATTCTTTTTCATACCAAATAATCCTTGATCAAGACTCTTGTTCTCTAGGTACTCGTACACAAGAAGTTTCTTATTTCCCTCAATGCAACATCCATATAGTTTAACCAGATTACGATGTTGTACAGCCGATATAGTAGCAATCTCAGTTATGAACTGGCTCTTTCCTTGATGAGAGGCTACTGACAGTTGTTTCACAGCAATAACTCTTCCATCATTAAGTGTCCCCTACGAGAACAAAAAAGAAAAATGATATTCTCTCGAAGAAAGCATTAAGAACCTGTTTGGTACAACTTGTTTTTTAAGAAAATTCGCTTTTAGATTTTCATGCATTTGGTTCATCTTTTAAAAGTAATCAGAAACTTTAAAGAATCTAAATCATTACATTGGAAGCTATTTTTGAATAAGTTTCCATGGAACCATCTACTACTTTTGGAGAAAGAAGAGTGATTTTATGAATACAAATACACATAAATTAGCTTCTGTTTTTATAAAATATCTAAAAGTAATCACCAAAATATTTTACACTAGAATCACTTTATTTTTACTTTGTAACAAAATATCTTTTACTTCTAATATTTTCCAAAAAAAATGAATATTAGGATACAAATTTACTTTCATATTAAACGTATAACTATAAGTAGAGGCTGAGTTATACTGTGCCTAGGGAACCACAACAAAATCTCCATTTATCTTTTGAGGACTAAAACGTAATTATCAATTAAATAGTTATATTAAACAAGCCAAAGGCATATCCAAAGATATCAAGAACCACAAGCACTACAGTCATATAAAGTCTTACGATAACTCGGAAGCAGGTAAGATCTATGGAGGCATAAAGGCCTATTTGTTTAATTAAACCAATTCAGGGTAAATAAAATAATCAAAGGAGAGTTTAAGCTCCTCTAGAATGATTGCGGGCTTAACATTGACTAGCCAAGAAAATTATTAGAACCAGTATTCACAATGATAACTTTTCAAGTAGAATATAACCTTCATCTTAAAGGGACAGAATATTACCTTATAAACAGGTCCAAAACCTCCCTCTCCAAGCTTATTTTCGACATTAAAGTCATTTGTAGCATTCTTCAACTCAGAATAACTGAAAGTGTATGGCTTTGTATCAATTCCTAAAAGCTCTGCAAAATCATACATGAATAGGGTTCAAAGTTAGGCAACCAGAGAGTTATTTTAATGAAAGTTGGGATGATGCCAACTTTTCTTGCTTTACAAGTTTAGAGACACCCCCTTTATCTAAATTGGATCTGATTGGACAAAATTCTCTATACAAAATTTTTAAAGAGAAAAATAAGAACAAAAAGAAAATAAGTTTCTAGATTAAGTTAAAATATAAAAATTTAGAGAAGCTATACAAAAAGAGTTTCAAAAAATTAACTTGTGCATACATTAATTTTAATATGTGAAGAAACTTATTTTATTTTTTTTCTTCTTAATTTTCTCTCGTAGAAGTTGTTACAGCTTAAATATCATGAGAGCATTACTAAACAAAAATCTGCAGAGTATTTACCTTCATCTTCATGCTGACGTTTTCTTCTCCGAATGATACAGAAAATCACAAAAACTGATAGGAAGCTTACAACTCCAATTCCAACAACAATTCCAACAATAAGGCCGGTTCTATTATTTGAATTGCTTGGAGGTTCGTTACTGACAGTAGGTATAAAATCTGTACAATACAGGCACACCCTATTAAAACAAAATTTTTCTTTTGAATATTTTTCTGACAAGAGATTATACATTATTGTTAAAGGTTAGTAGTTAAACAATTGCATTGCCTACTTTTTTTTTCTTTTGTAGTTTTACCTGGGATAGCATGGATGGCTTGAATCAAGGGCCCATAAGTACCTTGAGCTGGTATGCAACAAGTCCCCTTTCCAGCCCAAAAGAGATGGATGTCAATATAGTTTTCAGTCACTTCAAACCTAAATTGCCTTTGGACAGCTCTGAATGAGATGCCCCCAGCTTCCTTTTTTATGTCGAAATCTTTCAAAACAAGATTCCCCTAGAATATTCGAATGGAAAAATAAAAACGAGAGTATAATAAAATACAAGAAAATAGAGGGTCAAACAATAATTTTCTTTCTGTACCAAACCAACGACACAACATGGATTCAAAATATTTAACATAAAACATAACCTGGTTCTACAAATTTGATTTGGACAATAGACGAAATATGCTCAGTGGAGATGAAATACTATTTAATTGGACAATTAAGGAAAAAAGAAGAAAACTTTCCTTTCCTACCAATTCTCATTCGACCAATGTAAGCTAAGAATAATGCACACGTGACCTTAAATCATTATCAACAACGGCCAAATCCTCATATTTTAACAATACTTAGTAGAAATTTCAAGGTGATGGCATCTTTAAATACTTAATGAACAATTTTCTCTTCACCAGAACAGAACACCGAGATGAATATAAGAAGTTACAGAGACGCCGTACTTCTATAAACACTTGGTCTTATGTGAGATGTTGGATTGTAACATGTGTACAAATACTCTAATATTATAAAAATAGTTGAAAGATGCTTTTAGTATTTGCAAATTGAAAAATATTTAGTTGTAGTTACTCATATAAATCATCCCCCTTTTGATACATCGTTATGGAAATGTGGTACTGTTGTACTAATTTCCATAAATGAGAAAATAAAAGCACATGATAATTTAACAAACTAGGTAGATGTACAAGTTCTTAAGGTTGATACTTATTGTCATTGTTGTTGCACTATCATCTATGATTTCCAAGCATTTTGATAAGTACAAAAGTACCTGGATATATATATCAAAGACTCGTCTCCCAAGACTTTCCCATCTTCCAGCAGAATCCAGAATAGCTGTTTCTGCAAATTGAAGGGTGATGTTGTAAAAGCCATTTTCCAGCCCCAAGCCATAATATCTTAATGATGAAGGAGAGACCCGTGCTGTTTGGAAGAGCTCCGTATTCATAGTGTTAGTGAATTGATTAGACACAAATTTTGTGTATTCTGGATTACTATTGCCCGTAAACAATCCAACATTACTAACAGCCCATCTACTTGTATCAGTAACAAAGTATGTAGCAGAACCAAGTGTCTCATTCTCCCTTTCATATGTGATTCCTTCTGTGGACGTAATTTGGGGTCCGCCACACTTGATAGCAAAGTCAGAATCTGCCAGAATCATAGATAACTGATCAATGAGTGGCAAGGAGTATTACATAACAAGATTAACTTCATAGAGCCTCCTATTTCTCAGTAAAGTGTGATTTAGGTTCGATAAGATATGGTCAAAATGGTTTTGGACCTTAGTTCCTACATTTTAAAAACAATAGTTTTGGATCCAATATTTATGAAATATGATGATTTTTTCGTCTTTAGTCCCATAATTCATTTTAGTTTGACCAAGGACAAGATTCATCATATGTTAGAAAATGAAAGGATTACACCACAATTTTTAAATGGTACGTACTAAATCCAATTTTAACTAAATATTGAGTTACCTAACCTATTTTATCCTATTTGTTTTCCATGTAATGAAAAAGGAAGGCATAGAAATCCTTCAGTCACAGTAAAATTATGTTAAAGTCAAACTTACATCTTCCAACACCTCGATTGCAAGGAAAGTTTTTCTGGAGACAGTTGAGCCCAAATGGCAAGCCACTGCAAAGGAAAAGTTACCAAATAAAAAGATTGGTCCACAAATGAATGGCAAACAAAATACAGTACACTTTGTATGGAAACGAAAATGTTTCAAATGGATTGAAAGATTGTCAAAATAATAAATAATGGATGCACTAGCATATGAATCTAGATAGACTAAACTCTGAGGAACAAAAACCAAGCAGGATCGTAATTCATATTATAGCCAAAAATAGGTGATACGGGGTATGGTTTAAAAGAACTTTTAAAACAATCATCATTAAAGAAATTGTGTAATAATCACCTGGAATCTGAACCATCATCTATCGACAAGTTGTTAGCAACTAAATTCCTGCATCTCAAACCCAAAAAGTATTGCAATGAGTTTCAGAATATATAATCCCTCTCTCTCACACACATATATAAGGGAAGGGTTACTCCATGTCATCACCTTTTATTTTCTTGAAATCTAATAGTTTATAATTAGTTACTCATTAACACCAATGATGATGAAGATTAACTCTCATAGTGTTACTCTTAAAGAACAAACAAGTGTACGCACACATGTAATTCAATTATAATGTTAAAATTTGAACTAAAATTTAGTTCAACATTTAAAGGTGAGAGGAGACATGAAATTTTTTACTATTTTAGTATAATAAATAATAGGAAGATAGCTGTTACCATAATCATGATATAAATGAGTAAAAAAAATTGTTATTAACTTGAATTGTATTTATATTTATTTTCACCTCTTTCAAATGCAGATCACTTTAGAAAACATTTAGTCACTAAAGTAAATTTTAAATTAGCATTTGCTTACTCTTGCTATCCATTTAATCATTTTAATGTTCGAGATTGCGTTTTTGACTAGTAGTATAGTCAAACAAAATCATAGGAAATATGATGTATAAAAGGATTGGAATGTTGGATATGTATAGCATTCCATAATACTACAGTATGATTCACTTCTCACAATATTGGATTCGTATAACATACAAAAATGTAACAATATTGTAGGAATTGTAAAAGAAGTGGAACATAAGAAGTGGATCATAGTGTAGAAAGAGAACGATTTGTTGAAAAAGCCCTCTATCTTTGGATTCGTGTATATATGTTATACAATAAACAAAAATGAATTCAAGAATGAAATGCCTGTTTTCTAAAAGTACTTAACTACTTATCTAAGCTTCCTCTGTTTATTACTCATTACAATCCTCTTAATAGCCTGGTAGACCTGTTACGTCATCCAATCCAAAACTAGTCCATCTCTATTTGTCTAACTTAGACCCATTTTATTGGGCCCTTACTAACAAATTGATATGTAAAAGGAGACAAAAAAATAATCACAGTACTTACAGTTGTAAATTTGCTTCGTTTACCCAAGAGGGGAGGCTTCCTGATAGATCATTGTATGACAAGTCTCTGCAAGCATGTTAAGTCAAACCAAATCAAGGAAAATACTTGGGGAATGATGGTTTGAAAAGAGTGCAGACAAAATAAGCTAAGTCTAATATTCATATTTGTTGACAAACTATGTGTGTTGCAAGTTCATTATTGAACCTGTACAAATTCATGTTACACAAATACATACATACAAGTGTGGATAGAAGTGTCAGATAAGACACCCGTAGGAAAACTTACATATGAATAAGTATGATAAGATAAAGTAAAACACTAACAAACATTTATGTAAGTTGTAAATCATCGAAATAAAACATCATATAAACAAATAAAGCCGCTGCAAGCAATTCCACTAGTGAGAAAAGTTGAGAAAGTCAAATAAACATCAATTTGTTGCCTTTTCTTTTTCAGCATTAGTATTTAGTCATTATAGACTTGATATATGACTACGATTTAGCTAGTACATATTATTACCAACATATATCATCAAACAGTTTCAAAAATAAATAAAATTACATGATGTGTACTTATAGTTTCCTATGGTGTCCTAGGAATACAGATACATATACCTAATAACAACACATACACATATAACATCAATTTTAAAGCATCCAAGTTGTATTAAAACAATTACGACATGTGGACACATACTTAATCAAAATAAATACAAACAGAAAATTGACAAGTAACAACATGGAAAAGCACACACTCTTTCCTCTCAGTAAGATAATACATTTTTTGTTCATTTTAATCTTTAAACTAGCAGGACAAAGTTCCAATTAATCTCTTTTGTATTCAGATGGTGCAATTTTTCAAAATTTAAAATAGCAATTAAGTGTAAGGCTGGGCAGAACACTAGGACTTTCATCGAACTATGGGTCATATGCAGACAATGTCAGGTGATTTAGAAATCACCAACTAAACTTCTTGAATTCATCAAATTATCCTCGATTTCAAGTAAACAAAAAAGCCTTATTGATCAACAACTGGAGTTTGGCGAGTTTAAGGAATCGTGTTTGTGAGGTTCGAAGCATATGCACCCGATAGTTTAGGGGCACCTTGGATTTTGCCCTAGTATTTTGAATCAGAAAGTAATGAATTTCATTCTCCATAATTCAAATAAGTCAATCTTACTCACATATTCTGAAGTGATGAACGTTTCTGTGTTGGAAGGGTGCCATTTAGTTTATTATTTCCAAGAAACCTGAAATTTGATGAAAACATCCTTTAAAATATGGACTTAAGCATATCAACAAATGAATTTTCAATTTCTTAGAAATGTATTATTACAAGGTATTGAGCGAGCTCAAATTGAAAATTGAACCCGGAATTTGTCCTTCGATGCTATTGAAACTTAAATCCCTGCAATAACCAACATAAATATATAACTCTCTTGAGTTGGAAAAGGATAAAACTATAAGACAAGATACATGTTTTCTCTTTATCAAATAAAAGAAAGAAAATGTCCAATTATGTTATCCGTATGATAAATTAGTGGAAAAGTCGTATCTTTCTACCACAACAATGAAAATTAAGAAGTAAAAATATAATTGAACACAAATCAGTAATGAACATGTTGAGTACTACTTATTAAGATATGCCTCGTATAACCAGCCAGTAATCAGATTGGACACATTTGGAATAGCAACAAAGAGTTAACTAATTTGTTGCTTTCTAGTAAACAACTTTTACATTATTTCATTTGAATATACTTTGAGACAAACAGGTGATACTCACAGTTGGGTCAAATTGTGAAACTCTCCAATGAAGGACGGAATTGAACCAGAAATATTGTTATTCCTCAATTCTCTGCAACAATTGTAACAAATAAGTAAAAAAATTAAGTCTGAAAGCAGAGTGAGTCATGGACATTAGCAAAGCGGAGCCTTACAAGGTAGTCAAAGATTTCATATTCTGTAGAAATTCCAGTGAGGAGCTCCCATTAGATAAACCACTTATTCTCCTACATTTATATCATACTTAATATATTAGGTTTCATCAATCAATAATACCCATACAAAAAACTAGTGGTGGTACTCACAATTCTGTTAAAGAAGTCAAGTTGGAAAGTGACGAGGGTATTGAGCCATTAAAAGAATTGCCTTGAAGCCTCCTATCAAAACATACAGTAATTCACCAAAACTGTCAGCACACATTTGGAATAGAATACGAAAGTAACCATAGCAAGAAAATTTTCTGGTAACAGAATACTCAGAAGGATAATAATTCACAAGAATTGTTAGTAAGCACTTCTGGAAAAGAAAATGAAAGTGGCCATAAAAAGAAATACTTCTGGAATAGAATACCAAAACACAACCATTCACGAAAAATTTCAGTACATACTTTTGTAATAGAATATGAAAGTAACCATAAAAAGAAAATTTTAATTCCACATCCAATATAATATATTTTATCAAAAAGTGTTCCACCTACTAAATTCAAATTAAGGAGGAAAACATAGTTGACTGGTAATGTTGTCTTACAAGACTTGAAGCCTAGTCCAATTCCCTATGAAGTTTGGTATATTGCCTGTGAGTTCCACGTCTGAAGCCCATCTGAAATGAAAAGAAAAAACTTTATTGATGTATAAGTTTTCTTTCTTTAGGCACGTCAAAGGAGGAATATCTTACACTGTTGCCAAACTCGTAAGGTCTGCAAATGAGGATGGAATTGGACCACTATTTCCAGAACTATCAATGTAGCTGCAAGGAAATATCGTGAAGTTAATATTTTCTTCTGCTCACAAGGGTAAGCAACTGCATAACAAAGTGTAATTTTGAAAAATATCCCATACTTTGCATTATTGGGAACCGACCAACTCATTATTGACGACAATTATGCTTATGACGATTCTAATTGATGACTGTGGACAATAATAAATAGTTGTTTGTTACATGCATTTAGTAACCAAAACACTATAATATTGTAGTTCCCCAATGATATTGTAGTTCCCCAATGATATTGTTGCTGTTTGCAGACACAAACCATATTTGAAAGAGTGGTATATGCGTCCATCTCTATGACTATATTCTACACAAAGATATGGAAACTTACACAGGGGTACGACTTCAACGTAGAGATAGGATTCACTATCATTAGAAAAAGAAAGAATTTACTAATGTTGGACAATAACTATTTGAGATGCAACATGCAAGGATGGCTGCATTGGGGCATGTGTGGCTTTGATTTTTCAACTATTCCAGAGTTTAAACTGGCTGCGCATATATAACATGCAGAAATTTCACTTTTGCTACTAAACTTCTACTATAAGAAAACATTTTGCTAGTTGATAATATTTTAGCATACAAAAGGAAACAATAAATGAGTAAAGTCAGTGGATATGTATGTGCGTAAAATATGTAAAATAACAACTCCATAGGACCCAAGCTTGATTAAAAAAATAATAATACAAATAGAAGCTAAGACTGCAGAAATACTTACAGTTGTTCTAACTTTGTGAGTTTCCCAAGTTCGGATGGGAGAGATCCTGAGAAATTGTTTGACGAAATACTCCTACAAATTTAACAAATAATAAATCTCATTAGTACCATCAAGAGAAATTTCTCATGCACACCATCAGGTATCCACAACAAAACAACATTGGATTAATTAAAGAGAATAATGTTTTCGTGCGAGCAAATTCTTATGTAAAACAGTGAATTTCCCTTTTATCGATTTAAATAGTCATAACTAATCTAAAGGAAAAAAAAACATTTCGAAACAAAATTTTCCATGTGGATTTCTATCAATTCATGACTCATATTTTGTACAATGTCCAGGTCACTTTCACACCATTAATTAAACTTTAAACTAGCACTCAAGACTGAGATGTGAAAAGTGTAAGTTATTCAAAGTATTTTCAACTTAGATGCGTATTATGGATCCGCATTTGAATTGATCCGACACGAAATCAAACATGCACTCGTATTACAAGAGACAATATTATAACTTTGGCACAAGGAGCGAAGTTAACCCAAAATACTAATTCATTATGTGAGTTAACCCCATCGATTAAATACCACTTCATTTTCTATCAAATGTAAGACTCATAACTGACCCCAAATATTTTTGGTGACTACTTGATCCTGAAAAACAACCCATGTGCAATTTCATAACCGGAGGAAGAAAAGTTCAAAAATAAACAACATACAGTATTATTAACTCTGTAAGATTTCCCAATTCCTTTGGAAGCTCCCCTGATAAATTATTGATTCCAAGGCTCCTAACAAAGAGAAAACTTAACTGTTAGAAGTTATGCGTCACAACATTAAATTCGTAGAACATTATGAAATGAAATTGGGTTGAATTGTCTTACAAGTACTGCATACGAGTTAGATTTCCAATAGCTGGAGGCAGAGAACCCGTCAAGTAATTTTGCCCAATATTTCTGCTTGCAATTTGATGGAACTTAGTACAACAAAAAACTTGTAATTCTTTCTAAAGAACAATAAATCAAAAGCTAAAAATGCACCAAAATAATTTTAGATTCTCAATCAATCATAACTTTAATAAATTTGTTAACTTATATAATAACTACCCTAAAAATCACAGACGAAATTACTTTTAATTGGTTGGCAGATGCATTAATATGTGCACAAAAATTAAAATAGTAAGCTAAATCAATATACCAATTTTGATATACAAATTTTCTTTTTACAATTTTATTATTATCATGACAACAGTTTTTATACTGTGATAAGTGTTATCAATGTAGTAGTAACCACTTATTGTGGAACAAAATGTGAACCCCCTTGAATGAATGTCTGAGTATCCTCTGGTAATAATAATAAAGCAGGTGCTGAACTTATTAATGAGGAAGAAAACATACAAATTGGTGAGATAGGTGAGAGTCCATAGTTCTTCCGGAATTTCACCAAACACGTTCAGTGCATAGACCCTCCTGTGCCATTCAAAACATAAGTTAGCTTACAAATTCAATGTACAGCGACAGAGAAATTTGATCTGAAATTTGAGAGAGCGAGAGAGATACAATGCTGTGATGTGGCAAGTAGTTCGATTGTCAAATGAACAGTCACATCTGATGAATGGATTGTAACTTTCAGGGGTGGAAGTACTATCAATGGCATTTCCACTGCACAGTTCACCGCTTATATTCCACACATTTGTGAGTGCAGAGATACCCCATGTACTGAAGATTGAATTTAAAACTCTTGCTGCATTCAGAAATTCATTTTTTCAGGGAAATGCACTCACTTTAATATTACAAAGAAGCCAACTAAAAAAAAATAAAAATAATTTGATCGACTTATATATAATAGAAAAAATCCATATAGAAATGGAAAATGACACTTGAACAACCATTTTTGACAACATTTATACACGCGCACACGTGTCAAAATCTGAGTGGTCCATTTTTATTTAATTTTTCCAACTGGACCACTCAGATTTTGACACGTGTGCGCGTGTCTAAATGTTGTCAAAAATGGTTGTTCAAGTGTCATTTTCCGAAATAGGACGTGAACAAATCAAAATATAGAAGTGAGGTGCAAAATCCAGGTTAAAGTTTAGTTCATAATCCATTTTCTAAAATCTATGTTTTACAAATTTAGTTTGGTAGATTTTAAGGTTTGGGATTTAGTTTATATCAGCAAATTAAAGAAAAAAGAAATAAAATTATTTAAAGTTGATAAATTTTTAGTTTTTTTTTTAAATTACTTAACCAGGTCAAAAATAGACTTAAACAAAACCTAACATTGCTCCAGGACGATTAGATTTGTGTCAAATTTCGTTCCTTTTCTTTTTCTAATTTTCAATTAGATTTTTTTCGAAAAATCGTGACCTTTAAAATATAAACTTAAATAATATTATTATTGTTAAATAATGATAAAATTAATTTATTGCTTATATTTTAATGAAATTTGATTGTTTTAATAAATGTAAATAATTAAATGAAATAATATTTTCAAATTAGGAATGAAATTATAGAATTACTTTTTGATAAGATATTATCTGTATCTCTCGTGTATTTGAAATTGATATATTATATCAAAATAATAAAAATATGAAAAATAAGAAACGAGAGCTATTAAAATAGTAGAAATTAAGTTACGTGACTCGTTGAAAAAAGTAAACTTATAAGAAAATCTCCAAAATATCGTTATTAAGTATGAATTAAAAATGAAGGTGAAAAGTCAAAGTATATATAAAATAAGGTTTGAGAATAAGACAGTGACAGGGACTCTATCTGGTTTTTCAAAGGTACAACTACCAATTCAAAAGTTGATAAATAAAAAACATATAAATATTAAATACTGCAAATTGCTTAACAGAAAAATAATCAAGTGTTGCAGAACATGCAAACATACTGATATGTACTGTAATATAAAATTTCCTTTTTCTCTGTTATCTTATCCATTAAACAAAAACAAAAATATATTTTTACACACATAAGTTTTTTATACTTATCTTTTTAAAAATACAATTTTTTATGATTATTTTATTTTATAATATATGTCAAATAAATATAAATTTGTATACCTATCATTACTTTAAACAAAATAACACAAATCCTTCCTAAAATCTCTTTTCACCCTTAAAGTTTTTCTTTAATATATAACTTTGTTTCAAAAACAAAGGTTAACCTGTTCAGATTCAGAGATCAGGTGAGATTTTCAATAAAGATTTTATACAGAGGGAGAAAAACTGTGTAATGAAAGAAAAATAAGAAAATATTTCATAAAAAATATAAAAATGAAACAAAAAGAAATGTATATCAGTGGCATGGGTTATGTTTATACTGTAACTGTATCAGTATAATGTGTTTGTTCCATCTAATTTTCACATCACAACAATATTAATAATTAACAATTTAATTATTTTTAACCCATCAACCTAGTTTTTCCAAAGAGATTAATATTTGACATCATCTTAATTCAATACTGTTGATGGATCATGAACAAGTTTGAGTAAAAAAGTTAAGAGTTTTCCTTTTCTGATAATTTCTCTGCTGAATTTCCCAACAAGAAAAGCATTGATAGAAAGTATGTGTGCAGAGGCTGTCACAGAAAGGAAAAAAGAAAGAAGATAGTTAGTTACCTTCAGAAGGGTCAGTGGTGGCGTTTGCAGATTGAGCTTGAGAAAAGCTAACGAAGCAACTGAAGTGACAGAAGAACACGGCAACGAGAGCAAAAGCCAAACCATGTGACATCCATCCCATGATATGAAGAACACGACCACCCCACAATAACAATCTTTGAAAAAATTTGTCGAGTGCTTTCAAACTTGGCCGATCGACTTTCAGGTTAATGAGAAATTTAGTATTTGGTGAGCAATCGCAGTGTTAGGGAGAAAGATTGGAACGTTGGTTTGCTTTTATAAGACTCTACTTGCAAAAGAGAGGCAAAAATGGCGTCTCTGACCACAATGTTCAACGTGTGTAACTATTATGAATCGCCTGAGCTCTGTCAAAGCTTACGTCATGTTCCACCATAGCACACCAGATGGCCCGCGTGTAGCTCAAAGGTCAACATGATCAACTAGGTTATATACCAATAAATAATTTTAGTGGCCATTTTTATGTGGTTAGCTAACATGCAAATTGTGGACACACCAACCATGGAATGTTCCCCTACCTTTTTTACTTTAATCCTAAAAAAAAATCTCTTGGACAATTTTTCACGTTGGTTATGCATTAATTATATATATATATATATATATATATATATATATATATATATATAACAACTTTTCTTTTGACTATTCGTACCATATCTAGTACTAGACAATCTTGTCTAGATTTTTTTTAATTCGAGCTCAGTTTAGTTGTAAGTGTTTTAATTCTCGTAAGAAATGTAATCAACGATGATTTACAAGTCGTTTAGATTATTACTCTTGCAGAGAAGATATGATTATAATACAAAGTAGTATAATATTCTCTTTTTTCTCTTTCTCTCTGTTTTTTAATCAGTAAACAATATTACAATGAAGGTTGGAAGTATTTCTTTTCTTTTCTTCTCTTTTCTCTTCTTCTCTTCTCTTTTCTCTTTTTTTCTTCTCTTTTTGATGCTTCTAAGAATATATATTTTGTTGTAAGCTTTTCTCTTGCTATCCTCTTGATTTTTCTTTCAAAAGCTCTTCAATTTAAAGGATTTTTGAATAAATGTTCGCTAGACTAAGCGTTCGCCTTGATTCTTGTGTTTTCTCTTTCTTCATGTGCATCAGCCGTTGGATAAGTCAATTTATCAGAGCATACATGTTTTTTCAATACTTTGCTTGAAGTAGGTAATACGTCCTTTTAGGCATGGTTTTCATTAATGATAATCGATTCAATCAACGCAAATTCAAAAATATAGTCGTTACAACGATAAAAAACGGCTAGTTTTTCAATTCTCTCTATAAATACTCATTCATAATCGATTAATAACCTCCCATTGCATCCAAACTCTACCAGAATCAAGATTAATCAAGCTTTTACTCTCTTTCTCATACTTTTCTTCTACACCTTCTTTGATCTTCATTGTTGATTCAAGGTGCAAGATGCCTACACACAGACGTACTGGTGGTGCATCCTCTTCACGTCCTCAAGCTCCAAGACCTGCCACTCTTGAAGGATGGCTCTGTGATCCGGAGAAACAAGCTGAGTTCGGTCGTTTTTGGCAGGAGAGACAGATCATGGGTGTGAAGTATGTTCGCTTAGAGTACTACAAATCTTATGGGTTCCAATTTCCTAATTTATTTTCAAACCAAGGCTTAACCAATCTCGTTGAACAAAAGGAATGTATTTATTCCGACCTCATTCGGGTATTCTACCACAAACTCTGTTATCGTGATGGTGTTGTTACTACTAAAGTAAAAGGGTTACGCATCATTCTTGATGACGACATCTGAACCAATGTAGCTATGCTCACCATCTGGGATGATGCAGTGAAAATTCATCTTGGAGTTCCAAAGTTCAATCGTCTTCTTGCCTTCCAGTCTTTTTTGAGAAACCCTCAACAACAATTAAATCGACAACAACTACTGGTGGGCGGTTTCAAAGTGGAGGAGAGGATGATCCATTACCTGAAAGTTTGGATCATATGCTCTCGTGCCACCAATCATGCTCAATACTCTAAGCAAGATCTTCTCCTTATCTATGGTATTTTGAATCATGTCCACATTGATTGGCCTTCTCTCATCACTGACACTATGCTAAAGGCACAATAATTTTTAGCCTATCATCTCCCTTTATGCTCTCCTTATTTCTCGTATCCTTGAATTTAAATGAGTCAATGTTGAAGGTGAACATACTCAAGCTATTCAGTCGATTGGCACAAAAATTGGTGAAACTACTTTACTCCAAATGGGCTTTGTAGCACATGGAAATGTATTTCTTCATAGTTGATTTTCCATGGAAGAGTATTTTGCAAACCTCTCAAAGCAAATGGAAGATATGAGTTTGACTCATCAAGTAAGATTTGATGAACTAATGGAAATGCATCAAACTCATCATGACTATGTATGTGAGAGATTTGAAGATTTTAACACTAGGCTGGGCAACATTAAGGATCGCCTAAACCTTCAACCTCCTAATTATCCTCCATTCCCTGCTTTCTAAATGTTTATTGTATTTCTTGGTTAAAGTTGAATTTCTGTTTTTCTTGTATTTCATGATGCATTTTGTTATTTCATTTTATGAAAATTCACTTTTATTTCTGAATTACATATATTCTTTTGCAGAGGGGGAGAACCATTTAACGGGGAGCCTTTATTCTTGAGAACTTTTTGTTTATGATAAAAAGGGGGAGAAAACTTTTAATTAATGCAATTATTACTAGCATGTTTGTGTTGTTTGTAAGTCTGGATCTTTACAGGAAATTAGAAATGCTTTTAAACAAGAGATTTTTTATCATCATAAAAAAGGAGGAGATTGTTACCAATAAGGAGCATTGGTATCTTGAAGCTACTATGAAGTTTTGATGATGTTAAAAGCTAAAGAATTGAAGAATATTAGTGTATTTATATTAAAAACATTTTGTAGAAACAATTGTATAGGAATAACTTTGATGATGTAAAAATACTTAGATGTTTTCCTTTGTAGGGAATCATTGCGCAGATAATTGATTATCACAAGCCAAAATAGAAAGAGAATGCTCGCGCAAATAATCGATTATCCCTCAGGATAATCGATTATCACTTTTTGGAAACCTCATAACAGCCACAAATAATCGATTATCACTTAAGATAATCGATTATCCCTAGCAGTTAGGAGTTGGCTTTTCAGTTTCTGACCCTTGGGCTATATATACACATTCCTAAACCTCTTATAGGTTTAACTAAGCCATTTAAGAATATGAGAAGCTTGCACGTGAATTTAGTAATTACAGGAGTGTGTTAGAAATTTCGTTTTATTGGACAAGGGTGTGAATTTAGTAATTACAGGGGATGCGTCAAAAATTATATTTTTAGTGGACAGGGGGTGTATTTAGTAATTAGAGGTGATGCGTTCAAAATTTTGTTTTATTGGACAGTGGTTGAACTTAGTAATTTCAGGGGGTGCGTCAGAAATTCTGTTTTGGTAGACAAGGGGTGTGACAACGAAATACAAGGAAACAACATTGTTTTGTGAATTGTCTGATTGTGATATTATCTTCTGCATCGAGATAAGATGTTATGACTTGTTATAGTATGTGTTTAATGTGTTCATATTGTGTGATATACTATGATATCTCTGGTTGCTCACCCTTGCATGTTGTGGTTGTGGTTCCATCTACAATGATCGTACATGTACGGGAGTAGATGGAGAATAAAACTTGTCGGGTTTTTATATTGTTTTTTTTATTTACATTTGTTTGGTTTTGGTATTTTAAGGAACAAGTAAGTTTTGGTTTGTTGTAATGTATGGACTTAAGGTATTATGATATTTGTATGGTTTGCTTCCACAATGTTATTTTAAAAAAAATTGGACGAGAACGTTTCATACAATTCGTACTCTAAGATTATTTTTTTAGGGTTAAATATGTTTTTAGTCCCTCAATTATCACGCGATTTTGTTTTTTGTCCCTCTTTCAAACTTTGGTACACTTTGATCTTTCTCCTTAAGGAAACTATAATTTTTCGTCCTCAAAAACCAACGGCGTTAAAAATAAGCTGAGGTGGCTAACGATGGTCTGACACATCATTTTTTTTTACACTCTCAATCTTTCACAATTTTCTCCCTCCCTCTCCCTTTGTCTCCTTCCTTGCATCTTCCACTCCCTCCATCATCTTCACCCAATCCTCCAAACAAAGAAACCCATCACCGTCAGAATCCACTGTCGCAATCACCATCTCAGCCTCTATCAACCCAACCTCCCCACCCAACATCCCTATTTTGTTCCTCAACTCACAAGTTGAAATCTTTCCATCACCGTCTTCGTCCAAGTACCTCAGCACCCGCTCGTATTCACTACCCTTAATCATCATTCCTCTCAACAAAGAATCATCATCCTCCAAGTATAAACTATTGCATCGAGGACAATGCAGAACCTTGTCTGGTTTCTTGAAGATTTTATCTTGATTTGTAGGGCTACTCTCTGTATTATTTTCCATTGTTTTGGAATTTACTTTTGACTCATTTTACTACCGATTATTATGTAGGGTCTCTTGTTTGCTATCTGTTGAATCAGAATAATTCTCTGGTTGCTCAGAGTTTTCAGTACAAAGCATTTCAACTTCTTTTTTCTTTAAGCCATTGTAAGCATTCTGAAATTTAAGTTTAATCAATGACAAGTTAAGTAGAACAATGTTGTTGGAAAATTAAGAATAGATGAGAAGCAAAATCAATATTTATTTCCTATGAAAAATATAAAATACCACACAAGAGGAACAATTGGAACTTAGCGATTTCTCAGTAATAACAAATAGTAGTTTCTCAAGGAATAACATATTGGTTCATACATGAAACCATGTTCATCTCCTATTTCTAATGTGCCTCAACTTCAATTTGTCTCTCCCATCAAACTGTCATATTCATGAAAGTGAATCATACTAGAACTGGTAACTTATAAACAACAACAATTGCATAAATTTACTGAAAAAAGACCACACAGAGCACCTAGAAACTTTTGGACTTGATTGTTGCAAATTTTTGTTCTTCAAAAGGGAACCAGGTTTTTTTTTATGCAAACTACATAAGTGATGATAAGGAAAAATGAATAAGTAACTAAATGAAAGATTCTAGTACAATGAAGCCACAATAATCCAAAGAAAATATTCATCGCATATATCAACATTTCTGTATAAAGATGAAAAGGAACTGATTCATAGATAATCAACGACATTGCTCCAATTAAGATGAAATAAGTTACGTTATATTTATGGTTGAGAGAGGCTGAGATGGTGATTGCAGCGATGGATTCTGACGGTGATGGGTTTCTTTATTTGGAGGATTTGGTGAAGATGATGGAGGGAATGGAAGATGCAAGGAAGGAAACGGAGGAAGAGGGAGGGAGAAAAGCTGAGAAAGATTGGCCGTGTCAGAAAAAAAATGACGTGTCACACCACCGTTAGCCACCTCAGCTTATTTTTAATGTCGTTGGTTTTGGACGACGAAAAATTATAGTTTTCTTAAAGAGAAGGATCAAAGTGTACCAAAGTTTGAAAGAGAGACAAAAAATAAAATCGCGTAATAGTTGGGGACTAAAAACATATTTAACCCTTTTTTCATACATGACATCCTATTAGGGGTGTTATACATGCCTGGTGGAATTATCCCTTTGCCAAACTCCTTAAAGACAAGTGTTGGCTAGATGACGCATGATTTCCTCTAGATGCATATGTGTTGGAAAAAATTGCTTGTTGCCAGTAGAGGTAAGCATCTGATTCGTTGACGTTGGTTGAAACATCAGAATTCCATGTCTTTTTGGGATTGGCCAAGACTGGGCATGTGGAAGTAGGGCACACATCCTTAATTAGTTCAACCCTAGTCATCTTTATGGACCTTCAGTCAATAGCAGTGAATCAAGGTGCAATCACATCAAGTAGTAAGAGAAGTTCTTTTATTTCTTTAATCATGGCCACCATGAAGAACTGCTTGAAAACATCCAGAGGTAGCTTAAGACTCAAATGAGTGGTTGGCACAGGCGAGACCTTGGATAGGGGTCATAGAAGCTAACACTACCCTATTGGTAAAGTCCAATAGTGATTGAACGTTGTGCTTCCTTCTGAGATTCTTGAAGAACAAGACGAAGTTCTTCATTTTCTTACTTATATGCCTTTTCATCAAGAAATGGTGGAGGGTATGAGGTGGAGGCTTTTTGGGTGTTTCTAGGCTTTGGAATGGGTCGTTCAATGATGGTGGTTCCAATGAGAATTATTTGTGGTGTCATGCACATTAACTAGAGATAAAACAAGTTTACAGTGTATACATTATTGTAAACCCTACCTTACAAATTAGTTTTATGAAAATAAGTTAGACTTAAATTCTCTTTCTAATGTAATATTAAAATCTATCTAGTGAACTGTTACACTTATTATGTGAATTATTATCAGATTACTGATAAATATCTAATTTCATGCATGAATACATGTGTCTTAACATGAGATAGGTGTATTGAAGATCAATTTATACTTATAAATGAGTTTTAATTTAAAAAAAAAGAGGTTAAACTCAATTTCTAAAAGCTATTAAAATACATTATAAAATAAGAATAATATATTTAAAGGTTTAAACCCTCGTTTGGTCTTCGTATTTGTGTGTCAATCTCAAGTGGATCCTCATTTTTTTTCCGGTCTCAATCAGGTCCATAAACTTGTAAAAATGAGTCAATTAAGCCCTCTCCATTAAGTTTTCATTGACGCCGTCTGCAGATGCTGAGTTGTAATTTTTTTTAGTTGAGGTGGCAATGTGTATTAAAATGAAATGTGTATTAAAATGAAATGTGTATTAAAATGAAATGTGTATTAAAATGAAATGTGTATTAAAATGAAATGTGTATTAAAATGAAATGTGTATTAAAATGAAATGTGTATTAAAATGAAATGTGTATTAAAATGAAATGTGTATTAAAATGAATGAGTGTTCTGTTGTTCAGTGACTCTCATGTCATTCATCACCTTACCCTCCTCCACCCAACTCAAACCAGTTTCTTTCTTTATTCCCTGATCCCTCAGCATTTTTCTCGCTCTCGCCACCTCCTTCCATCTCCCAGTAGCAGCATAAGCATTAGAAAGCAAGACATTAATCCCAGAACTTACAACACCCATCTCTAAAATCCTATCAGCCACAAATGAAGCCCATTCAGTGTTCCTTTTTTAAATTATTGTCCAGATGAATCATTTTCATTATTTTAGAGATATTTTTAGCTTGATAAGAGTTTTTGGAGTCTGAATTTTTTGGCACTTGCTTTAACCTTATCAATTGGGGTCTTGGTCCAAACTCTTTTTAGATGACATCGATACTAAATATGGTATATTTTTTTAGAAATGAGGCCTCGTTTTCTCTTTGAATTCCTCTGTTCCTGGCTAGATTCGAAAAAAGAAAAAGCCATTCATTCATTTCAAATTACTTTGATCAACACCTTTCATTGACTCAACAACCGCCAACCCTTCTACTAAAAAATCACAACTTTCAACAAAGTATAAATTTGGCCAGAAAAATTGCAGAAGCGGTTATAAGTGATGGAGCATAACAAAGCATATTGTACTCCAAGAGAGACAATTCCACAATATAGTTTGTCAAGCACTCAAGTTGTAGCGAAGAGAGATAATTTTTGGGCCAGTGGGCGTCTTAGCGGCAATGTCTCTACTGCGACGAAGGTTTTCGTCCTCCAACGTATCACGGTGCGAGACTCTTAGTTTTGATTGGGGATTTTTGGGATTGTTCATCTGAGCTTCTCTGCAGGTTAGGGGTCTGATATTGGGTGGTCCGCGACGGTGGTTGAAGAGGATCTAGTCGTGATAGTGAAAATGGTGACTGCGGCGGTGGCGGTGATGATGGGCCACTAAAACCCTTTGTCATGTCACATTGTCTTAAATTAAATAAAAATTCCACATAATCAAACACTTTGACATCATCGTGCACCACGTCAGTCGCTATTAATGCCGTCAGTGAAGATTTAACGGACACGACTTAATTGACTCAATTTTTCAAATATTTGGACCCAATTGGCTCAATTTTACAAATAATATGACCCAATTGAGATTGTTTAAAATACGAGGACCCACTTGAGATTTCTCAACAAACTTGAGGACCAACCGATGGTTTAAACCTATATTTAAATGCCATAAAAAGAAGAAAAAAAAAGATAAAAGAATTGCAATATATATCAAAAGTTTAAATACCGAAAATACAAATCACCTTGCTTAAAACAACATACCCTACTCTTAACTTCAGATTCATTTAATAATTTCTTTGGAGAATGAAATAACATTTGTCTTAACTATGTATCGTTTTAGGTTTTGTGAAAACCTCTCGTTGAAAACATTATCTTTTGCAACGATTATCCATAAAAGCGTACGTAGTAATAGTTGTTCCTTAATGCGACACTAGAAAGATAAATAAAAGAGTAGTCATATATATTTTTCAATAAAATGTAATATAATTAAAATTTAAAGCATTTGCATTATTAACGTTGTCCAATCACTAAGAACAAGGTTCTTCTTCTATTTGTAGTTGGAGTCTTGTCTTGTGACCTGGTCTTGGTCTTTTGTTGCTCTTTAGTGCTTTCCGTATTACGCGAAAGTTAAGACATTAATCAAATTGATAATAATTATAATTTGACAGAAAAAAAGAGAGTAAGTTATTGATATTATCATTTGAATGCAACAACGGGTGTTTTTTAATCCAATATGCTGTTTGGTCACGGATGAAAGATTTTAAAAAAAATTGGTAAAAATAAAAATATATATACATAAACATTACTTTTCAACATGTACGATTTTACCTGATCTATGACCTACTAACACTTCATGTAATATTTATCTTTTCTTATTAAATTGAATTAATATAATTTAGTTAATATCATATTTATTTTATTTTTTATTAAACTAATAGAAATAGAATTTACTACTATAATTAATTCTACACTCCATTATCAGAACAGGGACACCCAAAATACGAAGGAATCCTTGGGAGAAGAAGAAATGGACAGCGCCGGCGAAGTGTAACCATTGGTGGTTTTACGATGAGAGAGAAAGTGGAGCCCTAGGTGGTTCGAGAGTTACGTGGAGAAAAGATGGATGAAGAAAATTAATACAGAAAATTATTTCAGTTATAATAACTATATAATTATATTATAAGTTGATTTGGTTGGTAGGAAAAAATAAGAGAGTAAGGAAAATTATTTGAATTATAATTATATGTTTTATTTTTCTATATATAAATTATCTATTATTAACTATTTGGGTTTAGTGAGTTAATAGTAGAATAAGAGAAATTAACTTGTCTAATTTAACTAATATTTACACTAAATAATTTCATGAAGACTATATAGATATTGGATGAAGATTTAATGATGGGGAATTGTAAGAGGTGTGGGTGCAATTTATTGAGAAAAACGTGACCCACATAAATAATAATACTCTTCAATTTATTGGGGTTACTTTTCATT